ATTGTTGAGAGATATTTGATACAAGACCCAAACATCTAAGTTGATTAATATTCATTGCCTTATCAACTGATTTATCATTTTACATTTTATAGTCAAAAGAACAAGAGAATATTGGCAATCGGATAAAAACAAAAAAAGCAAAATAACTTAGTGACGAAAAATAATGGACAGAATGTATTATACAACAACAAGAAAATTCTTATGATTATGGTGAAAATATTCAAGGTCACTGTGTATCTGGGTTATTACGATTATTATTTTTTAAATTATATCACTTATTATTGAATATTTACTTTCATTACTATAATCATCATTGTTATTGTTAGTACTACCATTATTACTAATGATAACGCTCAAGCGTAAAAGGCCGACATTTTTGTCATATAATTTAGAAAACATATTAGTTATTAACGGTGAAAAAAACAATTTTTTGCTTTACAACTAAAGGGGGAAGAGTGGGGGGATTAAAGAATTTGCAAAGTTTAAATTATGAACTGATCTCAGCTAGACCATCATCAACAACCTGGAAGTACTGGATAATTGATTTATTCAAGTATGAAAATTCTACAATCTTCAAAAATCTTATTATACTGACAATAATAATAATGTGTTCATTAGTGACTAGCTTCAAAATGAAATTCTCGGAATTCTAGTGAAGATATGTAATCAGTAGAGATTAACTTGGATAGGAATGAGACATTTATCTACCGTAAGTAATCGAAACTGGTTGCAGAATATCGTAAACTGACTGAAGTTATAAATGTACATCATTGGATTACAGCTCAGTTGTGCAGAGATTAAACATTTGTGCCCACGACCGAGAGCTTTTGGTTCGATCACTTTCATGGATGAGCAGTCTGTCAATCATCTACAACGTAGGACCAGGCACATATATACATCGGTCCAAGTTGTCACATCTCATAAGCACAACAAGGTGAACACGAAATTTATAGAAGTAGTTACTTAAATCGTAGTAATGTATAAAAGATTGAATACAAGGATATAATAAAGGAAGAAAGAATTAGTTGGTAGAAAGAGAGGTATAAAGTAATTTAATCTCACGGTTTAAGGGAAGACAAGTAGTGTATACACCTACACCATTCTGATCAATTCTGAAACACGGTCTCCAAGAGTTGGTTACGATAGTCATGTGGACCCCGATCAAGTAGTCTGCATTAACCAACATTTCTCACACTAGAAGTCAGTGACTTCATGAATCGATGGCACATTTAGTTTGGTCGTCTCTAAAGTTCTTCCAACCATTCCCTACACAAGTCAGCATTACGCACTGAAGTAATCGGTGTTCAGGCATATGTAACACGTGACCCAACCGTCTCAGTCAATGAAGACTTACATGCTCATCAACTGATTTACCATCATTCCCTAATACCTTGAGTCTAACCTCACTATTAATTACCCGTTGATTCCAGCAGATACGAACAATATTTCTCAGACATCTGTGATCAAATACCAGTAACTCACGAGTACCTTTTACTCCTAATGACCACGTTTCGTAGCCGTGAAATAGAGCAGAACAAACTGGTGTGTATTATGCTCGTTCTTTAATTGATAGATTTATATCTCGCGTTCGCCATAGTTGACGTAAGTTGGCAAAAGCCTGAAGCAACAATTTGCATTAAGAGGAAGATAAAAGCATCCCAAACATCCTGTTATTGTTGCTGAGTGCTAGCAAAAGACTCTGCATTTTATCAGCGTCTTCACCAAACAGGATTAGGTCATTTGAATATTCTGTGTCGATAAGTGAACCTCCTGGTCGAGTCGATGATAAAAGTACTTCCAGAAGTAGGTTTGTGATAAAATTAAACAGAAACGAAGATAGTGGATAACCTTGATGGACACCATTTGAAGCTACAAAATCAAATGACAGTTCAGCACAAGCACTGAATCGACTCATAGTGGTCGAGTAAAGAGCCTTTACAAGGTTTATGTACTTTTGAGGTACACCTTTCAGTGACGGACACTGCCAGAAACCCTCTTGGTCAACAGAGTCGAACGCTGCTTTTAAGTTAAGAAAAACTACCATTGTCCGACGCCGATAAGCATGTCTGTGTTCTAAGATCTGACGAATGGTGAATGTGGGGTCGATGCAGCCAGAACCAGGTTTGAAGCCAACCTGATTTTCTCCTGTTTGTAGTTCACGAGTCTTTGTTAGGTGTCCGATGATCATTGAGGCTAGTATGTTAGATGCTACATTTTTGAATAACCCCTCTATGGTCATCATAGGATGACTTTGACCCGTTCTTTTATATTGGGACAATCAATGATTGCGATCAGTCAGATGGGATTACATTTAGTTCTAAGATTTGAGCTAAAATATTGATCAACCTAATAGCTATAATTGAACCACCATCCTTTAAGACCTGTGGAGCTAAACCATCTGGACCAACCGTCTCTCCTTGTTTTAGATTAACTATAGCTTTTTAAACTTTAATTAAAGTCGGGGGACCTACTTCAATGTTTCACTCAGCCTGTTTGGGAATGGTGGGTAGTTGTAGAGCAGCTGAACTGCTTCTTAAAGCATTCTGCCCATCATTCTAAACGTCTGGGATGAGAGCAGATAAGAGTGTCTTGTTGCGAGATAGTTTTACTTACACTTGACTTCTTAGTTTCAGTTTATTTTATCAGTCTGAAAAGCTGTCTTGTGTTACCTACAGCCTTCGCCTTTTCCATCTCTTTTGCTTTCATTGCCTACCGCTGCTCACGGTCGTTCCTTAGACTTTTGGTTAACCTAGATCTGATTTGCTTTCGCTCATCATCGTGTTCAGAGCCTGAAGGGATGAGTTTACGAGAATCCATCACTGCAATAGACTTAGTAGAGATCAATTGTTTGTTTTGTAACCCTTTGACTTAAATCAATAATAGTTAGTATATCTTTCCAAGCAATATCTGGGTCAGCTTCGATTTCAGAACTACCTAAGCGTGATCTCAGTTGTTCCTGGAATCTACTTTTTGCTTTCTCGTCATTCATTTCAATTCTAATGGGTATTCTTAGTGCGTTTGTTTTGCATCCAGTGAGACGCAAACAAATGCATGCCCGTTATAGAGCGTGATAGGAATGACGGTCTTCTACCGACCATCTCCGACAATGACTGGTGGCAATCTGGTTTATTTGAGTCCGTTGTTGGTTTGGTGCGGAGGGTCGCCATGTTAGACGATATCTCTCCCTATGGTTCAAATTAGTGTTCGTCAAAAATAAGCGACTGTCTGAGCAAAGTTGCAGCAGGCGATCACCATTATGTTTTCGCTGAGCCTAAATACCAAAATACCCACCTAAATGTCTTTCTCATTATTTTAAGAGACCTACATTGACATTAAAGTCAACTGCTACGAGTACTATGTCCGAGTGTTTAGCTTTTTGAAGAAGTTCAGACAGCTTTCTGTAAAACTCATCTTTCACTTCATCCGGGCCGCGATCAATGAGAGCGTAGGTAGAAACTATAAAAAGACAAAGATGTGTGCCTCTGTCCTTCCGAGTTCTTATTGAGTCGTTTAGCCGAACAAAACATAGGATACTAATAATGGGGATCCACTTTAATAGTGCTTGTTCCGGCCTCATGCTTAGTGCTATGCCTACACATGCCACTCCATGAGAACTATTTATCCGGTGGCCAGATAAACTCAGGGTGTATCTCGTCGGCTCCCAGTTTTGACAAGGTGAGGCTAATTGAATTACCGCGCTAGGATCCTGTATGCATATTACGGAGACACAGCATACAGTAATGGTATGAGATCCTAGGGTTTTAGCCAAGGATGTCTACTGGCCAATTTGATATAGGGTGCGTACATTGAAGGCTCTAATGTGTATTTGGGAGCGAGGTTTCATTAGACCTGGGAAAGTGTTTCGCGCACTAGAATCGTTGGCCATGGTGACACTTGAGAAGTCAAAAGAGGAAGTTTAGAGTTGAAAGTTGAGGTAGGAGGAATAATAGGAATTGAAGAGGGAGATTGGTCATGAATACAGTGATGTTGAATGCTGTTATAAGTATCAGGGTCGTTTTTATTTCCTGGTTGTCCAAACCGTGAAAGGATTCTTCTAGAGCTACATGTAAAGGAAATTCGGTTAAAGGTTTTCTTGGTGACCTGACCGCGGTGCCCATGGGACAACTGCTTGAGTCCGTTCACACATGATATTTTTGTGAGTGATTTTTATGTTAACTTCGTACTTGTTGGGACCTTATCACTGGAGACGGAAATCCGAGAGTTAAGATGAGGTGTGCATTTTTATAGTCAACCTTTTCTAAACCCACTCCTCCTTGTAGAAAGACAATATCTCTGTTATGCTGATTGTCTGAAGGAAATACCGTTATAAGTTAAAGATAAATAAATAACACACAGCATATGATCTCATTATTGGCTTAAGCAAAATGATTAGAGAAGGGTTTTTGTAGATATTATAGTAATTTCAATGGTTGAGATCATGAGTCAATTGAAGTTAGACCGCTATAGAAATTCTGAAATCACTAAAAGGCCGTTTCGTCCTATTGTGGGACTCCTCAGCAGTGCGCATCCACGAAGCATTGGACGGCTGAGGGATCCCACAATAGGACGAAACGGCCTTTCAGTGATTTCAGAATTTCTATAGCGGTCTAGCTTCAATCGACTCATGATCTCAACCATTGAAATTAAGCGAAATATCTGTTTATCATCTACAGGACAAGTTTACTAACTCAACAGTTCATTCTATTTACTATGAAGATGCATAAAATAACTATTAAGAATAATACCGTATTTATAAGTTACTTATATATTTAATCATAAATATCTTCAAAGTATTATACAAGTAATATAAGATCAATAGTAAAGTTTAGCATAAAGTGCAAATTAATTGATAGAATAGTGAAAATTCATTATTTAAATTAGGATGACATATATATCTATTAAGAAATGTACTAAGATGTGATACATTTCATTACATAACATTTACATGAAATGAACATATATATATATTTATATATAAATAAATTATTTTTTTAACTTACTAGTTATTGTAGTAATAATAACCAAACCAATAATTATTCCAATTAATCCACCTGTACTTAAATGATTATTATTATTTATAACAGTAGTATTACTGTTAGTAGTATTATAATCACTAGTCATATTATGAATTGTATTATTTTGAACTGATTCACAATTATTTGTAATTATAAATAGAATAATAATAATCATAATCATTAATAAATATTGATAAATCATATTGTTGATTAATTAATTCAATTCAATCGGATCATCATTGAAAATGTTTATGTAATCATTTAGATCAATAAATTATTGGATAATAAGTGTTATGAACATGATTTTAATTATTATTATTATTGTTATTGATACTAGTTATTAATATCATCATTCATTATCAAATAAATATGAATGAAAATGATCAAAATAAATATGATATTTCCAAATCATTGTTTAACTCGACTATATACATAAGTAGTATTAATTATAGGGTATCATTAGTATCATTCGTTATAGGGTGTATTGAACTTTGAAGAGAAATATAGATAGATAGATAGATATTAAAATAAGTGTAGTAGATCCTGGTAGATACACAGTAATTGGATGATTTTTCTTTTATCTTTTATTTTTTTTCTATTTTCTAAAAAAGAAATTGTATTTTTATTGGTTCATTATGTGATTAGTAGTTGTACTACTACTACTAATAATAATTCAATATATTCAATGAATAATTGTTTGGATGAAATGAACAATTTTTTTTTAAATTTTTATTAGATTCATTATATCATTGATATTGAATGTTGATTAGAAAAGAAGTTCAGTGCCTAAAATAATTTTTTTTTTGAAAAAAAAACAAAACAAAACAATTTTAGTAAATAAAATAAATAAATAAATCGATATTAAAATTATATTTATTATTATCAGTAGAGATGAATGGTGGTTAGCAGTGAAACCTATTAAGGACTCATCAGTTAGATGTAACTGCTTCCTACAGTTGATGTTCATTCCAGAATCCAAACTCAATAACGTCCATTTCAAACGCTTCCGCGCTATCAATTTAGCTGTTGAGTTTACATAACCAGTAGCTGAAGGTCGAGTCCTAGATTGAACATAAACATTAGGATACAGATGCATACAACTGACGTGTCCTAAATAGAACGAAACACACGTCCTGTATTCCACTTATAACCACCAATTATCTATGCTTACAATGTTTATAAGTGAAGGCAATATCGAGGTAATCCGCACAGGATGCCTAAATGCTAATAAGAGAATGATCAATTACAGTCTTAAATACCAATGAGAAGATTCAAACAAATGGTACAAAAATGAATTATAACTATTGTGTTTACAGTAGTAATCTTATTTATTTATAATATAGAAACATATATTATAAAAATAAAATTTACAAACATAATCTTGGTAAAATTTCTTTTCTCCTTTAGCTTAATGGTTACATTATGAAGCTTTTACTGGGGTCCTAAATATTATTTATCTAAAGTTTGCATAGATAATGTTGTTCAGAAAAAAACCAATAAAAACTTAATGAATAAACTATTCAGCTCAGATAATAAAAATCTATCAGAATTGATCAATTTTTAAAATACAAATCTTCTATACTCAATCAAATTTGATTTCATTGAGTATGATCATTTCACAAGACTATGATTAAATATAAATGGAATTTGAGGTATGAATGAACAATATGAGTTATTATATGTTATAGTGATAATATAAAATGAATATTAGAACAACATATATAAGCGAACAATTGTATTCAATTAGATCGTCATTAGGTTTTACTCTAATATACATGTATATTTATTACGAAAATGTTAAACCAATCAAGGTAATTTGGGTTAATAATCACAATGATATAGAATAGGTCAACACACATAATGAGTGAAAATACAAGTTGATAGTAGCCAATAAAGACAGACTGTCTGAATTCGCCAAATCCATATGTATCTATCGGTCCAACTGCTCCTGTGGAGTCAGTTATATAGGGCGTACAATTCGGCAAGTTCATCATCGTATTACAGAGCATCATCCGTCGTGGTTCAACAAAGGACAGGTAAAAGTGATTAAAAGTTCTATTCTCGCTGACTTGGTTGACACAGGTTATCAAGTTGAATTGAATAAAGCTTTTAATTTTATCTACCATATCTCTTCAAATTTACCACATGGTTTACGAGTGCGCTATTTGCACAATGCGGAAGCCATCGCAATCCATGTTCACAAATCTGACCTTTGAATTCAAAAGAAATTTGTACAACCACTTTCGCCGACTTGGCCATCGGTATAAGATTCCCTTCAACAGAACTATTTTCCATACTTCTTTCATTTGGTTTTTTAATTTTGTTTTTGTTGTTTTTAAACTTTGTAATTCCTCAACATTCATTTCTTGATTCTTACGTAAATACTATTCTATTGACCATCCATTAAAAATTCTGTTCCTTCTCTTTTTCATATATTATGCAACGTAGCAACTTCTTGATCTAATAATTATTATGGATCTTAATAATCCTCTTTCTTACAATTACTCAATGTTAATTTAAATGTCATTATGTAATTATTACGTAACGTATCCACTCGATGAGTACTATATCATTATTGTAAATCATATATATACATATTAGTGTAGAGCCATTATGAAAAACTAATTGAAAAGAAATTTCTTCACCCAATTGGTTCTTCCTTTATTATTTTTTTTAATTTATTTAATTTTTGTTATCATTAACCTTATTTTTACATCCATTATTTGTTTGTAATTTTCTCCCTTTTTCCGTTTGTATTCTTCACTATCTAATTATTTACACACCTCTTATGACGTAATGATTTTAATGTGTTTGTGATGACTGTTCCAAGTCTATTTACCCACGTTTGACCTTCTATTTCCAATGTTTATTGATATGACTTTTGCTATCGTATTTTATTATTCTTCTACTATCAACTTGTATTTTCACTCATTATGTGTGTTGACCTATTCTATATCATTGTGATTATTAACCCAAATTACCTTGATTGGTTTAACATTTTCGTAATAAATATACATGTATATTAGAGTAAAACCTAATGACGATCTAATTGAATACAATTGTTCGCTTACATGTGTTGTTCTAATTTTCACAATGGGAATCTTCCGTTGTAAATGTTACTAAATTCGCTTAACCAAAGATTTTGTGGTTGATGGCAATATGCAACGAAAAGAATGTACATTATTTAGATGTCGATTAATTGGACTGTTAACATCAAACTGCAGATCACTTAATGTGTTAACGTCAGGATTGACCAAGAAGTAAGCAAACAGAAATGTGTTGAAATAATTTATGCTGAGAATTCTATGTTGTAAGAAGAATAAACTATTGAATAAAGTCACTAATAATAGTAAATAATAAAAATTAAGTAGTAGATTATTCAAAAGCGGACAGATTCATACAATTGTTTTATTTTATTTTATGGTTTATATATATATATATATATATATATATATATATATATATATATATATATATATATATGATTTATAATACACTGCTGTGCTCTTGGTTATTTAGATTTCATGGCAGGTGTGATGTAACAATCCTAATGATATTACTTTACAAAATATTTATTTACAAATAAATGGTTTATTTAACTATTAATTAATGAAGTAACTGGAGTTCTAGTGAGAAGCAGTGACCAGTGGAGTTCAACCAGATCTGTTGTGAGATAGTAACTCACTAACAACAATAGTGGATGGCGGCACGATTTCGTGAATTGGTTGAAGATAGATATTAACAACGTTGGATGCCGGCCAGCTAAGTGGTCTAGAAGTTAAGCGTTCACGCGTAAGACTGATAGCTTTTGGGTTCGAATCCTGGAGAGCGGGATCGTGGATGCGCTTTGCCATGGAGGAGTCCCACAATAGGACGAAACGACCTTCCAGTGCTTCCAGGTTTTCTATGGTGGTCTAGCTTCAATTGACTAATGAATTCAACTATAATATTACTACAATCTATAACAAACCACCTTCTGAAAGTTATTGAATTGTCTGATAGTGATTAAGTTTGAAAATTTATGAAAATATAAATATAAAATAGATAATTACTGAAAAATAAAGATAAAATGATGATTTGGACTCAGATATGTAACAGAAAAAGTATTGAATTTGCGTTATTTTCATTAATCGACTTATAATCTATAAGGTAATGTGAATTTCGAGTATCAGATAATTATGGTTCATGTTTATTGCCAAAGGAAAAAAAGATTCAGTCTACTGATGATGATGTCAATAATATTTGGTGTATTCTGGTAACATTCACTGGTCAAAATACAAGAATAGGATAAAATTTTATTTCTGATGGTTTAGTTGTGAAGCTTTCATGGTTCTCTTATGAACGACATCATGAGCACAAACTTCAGGTAGAAGTGAAAGTTCCACGACTAAACTATTCAGCTCAGAGAATAAAACTCCATCAAAATCATTCACCTGAGCTACAAATCTTCTCCACTATCGATAAAATTCTATCTCATACAGACTTCTATTTCTAACATTATTAATAAGATTTTAAGTTATTTTGTTATTGATATTTAGGATAACTCAATCTCTTTTTAATAACCATAATATCATAATTATATCCACTGAATAATGTTAATAATGTTTCGGACTTAATAGTTCAGTAGATAATACATTGCGTGTTTCAAGTGTTAAGTAATAGGTTTGAGGTGTCAGTGTAAATAACAACTTTAGTATGCACTTGATAAGATTTAAATAGAATAAAAACGATACGCTTCCTGAATTCTACTATTGGACAATTATCAAACTTAATTCAACTATAATAAATTTAATTTTAGCCATTTTTCCTTGTATTATGTAATATAATTGCATTGATTTACACATAAACCATACATTTTTATGTTGATGAATTAAATATTATTTTCAATATGAAGCTTAAAGGCGCTAATCATTTTGTATAATCCAAAAAAAATCTAAGAATGAATCAGTAGTTTAACTTACATCCCTAACATAAATCTACATAAGGATTTATTACACTTCAATTCAATAAACAATTATAAATGGATAATAAATTTCAATGGTTGAGATCATGAGTCCATTGAAGATAGACCATCATAGAAAACCTGAGAGCACTGGACGGTCGTTTAGTCCTATTGTGGGACTCCTCCATGGCAAAGCGCATCCACCATCCCTTCTCCTAAGATTCAAACCCAGGGACTAT